TAACGGCATCACAGACATGTTATTGCTCAATTTCGTGCAACTTAGGTGTGTCGCTTGATCCTCTAACAAGTAAAAACCGGCATCTTACCCGCCGGATCACGATCACACTACACCATAAAAAAGTTATAGAATCCGCGCCGTAAACGAGTACGGAGGATCAGTCTATTATTTAACAAGTTAAAGTTGATTTATTATCGAAATTAACCAGACAAATCGCTTCACCCAACTAAGAAAAACCCTGAAGAAGTTCAAACAAGTTTGTTGGACGAAACATTGAAATTATTTAAATAATTAAAAAAAATCTTACAAAAAAGTAATGTATCTCATTCATTGAAATGAATGTGTTTTTTTCTCACAAGAAATATGATCATTAAAGAAGAAAGAAAAAAAAAGAAAAGAATTTGTAAAATGTACACATGATCCCGTTCAACCTCTTGAACGTGATCGTAAATTAACAAGATCTGTTGATAATTTCCGATCATTTCTATAATAATTTATAATACCGATTTTTTTATCATGTAATAATTCACCAACAAATTGACATTGTTTTGGTGTTTTCATTTCATCATTAGCATTTAATGTCATATCATTTAACCATTGTTTCCATGGTACAATAATTTGTTTCGGTGGGATAATCAATCTTGGTTGATCTTTTTTATTATTCGGATACCAAATTAATGATTGTGCCGCATTACAATGTGGTGGATTTATGGCGGATAATGGTAATTTTTTATTCTTATCTAATATAATTGGTTTTTCATATTGCGTATCATCAATATGTTTTAAACGTTTACCAATTGGTTGATATGGATCTAATCTGATATGTAATTCATATTGCCAACGGATTGTATTTAATATATATAATTCATCTTGTTCAATATTAATTAGATTATATGAATTCCATTTATAATTTCGACCATGTTTTATTGCTAATAACCATACCCAAAATTGTTGTCTTCTTATGATCTCAGTTAATTGTACATTATTACTGTTACTATGAGAATATGGTAGTTGCCATGCAATTGTTGGATAAAAATAATCTTTATAATGTAATTGAATAAATTTACTTGTTATATAACCATGATGAATGACATAGTTACTATTAAAAATATCATAAAATGGATATTGATTACCATCACTATCATTAATCATTTGATGTCGTCCTGTTTTAATTGGATGAAATTCCCATAATGTACTACCATAATTATTATAACGTTGTTCTATATAATTTTTATAACATGCTTGTACTAAACCAATAGTCCAATATTGTTGATTAGTTATACAATCATCATTTATCATTAATTTAATATGACAATGAAAATGTTGACTTTTATATTTGAAGAAATTAGATTTTTCTATTATTTCTGTTTTACTATTTGGATCATAATAAGCATCAATAGATTGAACATGAATTTGATCTAATGAAAATGTTGACATTGATATGTTAATTAGATCTTTTCAATGATCAGAAGTTCTTCTTCGTCGTCGCCGTTTTCTTCTTCTTGTTACATTAATTCATTCATCTATAGTTACTTTAAATGTTTGTTATTGATTAATAATGATAGATCAATAATCAATATAATCTATCGTATTTGAACAGGGCGAGTTATATAAGAAGTGAATTACATGTAGTTCTTTTCTGTTTTATGTGATGAAAAGAATTAATTTTACTACTACCAAACAAGTGGTTTTAATGCCTGAACATTAATTATCATCACGCACACACACACACACAATGTTGATTAGTATTGGGGAATGGTTGGAAGGAAATTAGGGGGAGGTCAAACTAAAATGTGACATCAGTGTTTGAAGTCGCTAACCTCTAGTCTCAGACATGTTGGTAGATGTAGATTACTTGATTGAGGTCCGCGTGACTATCCTAACCAATGGTTGGAGATTCTGGGTGACATGTCTCAGAATCGATAACAATGGCGTCGGTGTGTACAATCTTTGTATCTTCCTTTCTACGAACTAATTCCTTATTCTTGTACTATATCCTTATATACACTCTTTCTTGTGCAGTTGAAGTAAATACTTCTATGAACTTGGTGATCATTTTGTTGTACTAATGAGGTGTGGCAACTTGGACTGATGCATATATGTCGTACGTTGTAGCTGACCGACTGGTTTAATGGTTAGAGGAATTCATTTTTATATAGTATATTGGAAGTTTAAATGTATTGTAAAAATGATGTGACGTTTTCCCACTACAATATCATCCGCATGCTCAAGGTCGAGAAGTGTTTCTCCATGCGACAGATCCACACAACCATTACTTACATCCATCAGAGCTGATTTCAGGATGTCATCGATAGCAAAGTTGAAGAGGAATGGTGAGATTGCGTAAGCCTTATCCCATTGCTTGAATGGAACAGTGGAGATGGGTGGTTGTATGCGCTTCAAGAGTTGGAGTTATTTGCGGAGTTCCGCTTCATTCGGTGGATCAGTTGTCACAGGTCATGGAAGGTACGATAGTCTGGTCGATGTTGCCGGGGCAGCAGACAAGTTGAAGTATTCCTCGAATAACTTCTGGTCGTTCAAGACGTCGGTAGATGTTAGTGATTGGCACCCACAGATTGTTTCGCTCACACCAGAATTCTGGCCGCAAGTGACTCGGATAAGTTGAAAGAGCTCCCGGCAGTTATCAAATGCAGCTTCTACTTCCAAATCGTCGACACGTTCCAATCACCAGGCCTCTCGGTCCTTACGCAAGATTTGCACAATCTCATTACCCGAAAGGCGTCGTTTGTGGTCACTAGGAGTGAACCGATGCGTTGTAAGGAGCATGAAGAAAGCCAGTGCTTACAAACTGAACGTTTCGCGAAGCCTCGGGGCACTTTACTCGCCATTTTCATGGCGTCATGCAGTTGAAATCAATGCTCATCTATACTTTTCGGTGGAATGGTAGCTAACCTTGAACCTAGCTCGGTTTTATGTTTAGTTTCGAAAGAAGCTGCAACCAACTTGCTGGCATCGATCCATTTAGGACGATGAATTTCTTGGCTACTGAAATGTAAGATAAGATTGGCGCAGACCAAGGCATGATCCGAGTCCAGATAGGTACTCCAAAAGGAGCGGCAATCTTGTACACAACCACGACAGCGTTACTGATCGCGATGCGATCAATCCGAGTCAAGGCTTGAGATGCAGGGGGAGGACGCCAGGTGGCACATCAGAGATGACTGTGCCGAAAGTTAGTGCTAGCCAGAAACAGGTTGTGGTCTGTGCAGTTGCAGCAGACGGTCCCCGTTATCAGACCTGCGACGAACAAGTTCCCATCGACCACCTACACGACTCACTTTTATGCCTAGACGCCCTACCTGAGCATTCAATTCTCCGGCTAGTAGTATAATATCTGTCAAACGCACTACCTTTGAAAGAAAGGTTAACTGGTGGTAAAACTCATCCTTAATCGCGTTCGGGCTGAAATCTGTCGGAGCGTATGCAAATATATCGTTTCTAATCTAACAGCACATAACCGACTGTTAATGAGAATTCAGTCAGTCATTTCTGTTTCAGTGCGACACTAATATCAGCAAAACTAGAGTAAACGCATGTAAAACAAGTATTTAGAAGCGACAAATAGAGAGTGAATATGTAGTGCACCAGACAAATCTATACTAAGCTTTCACTGATTGGTTATAGTATCCATATTCTACACCAGTGCTGCGGCAAAATTATGAAACATTAAAAGGTAATTTCTATCAGTTATCTAAATAAAAACGTCTGCAAAGATGAATGTTATTGAGTGATAAAAATTTACCGCTCAACTTCAACAGATTTAAATACTATGTGATAATGCTATACGAATACTAAATAAATAGTGCTTCAATTAAACATAACACGATTTCCAAGTTCTGAATGAAATCCCTTTATTTTTAACAATATGTTGATATCCATAATCATTACATAAACAGCCATAGCCTTAAAGCTCATTGTACATATTAGTTATTGGTTAATCATCTAATAAGTTGGCTTATCTTGAAAGTCTGATCAGCACTAATAGGTTGGTGTCTGACGAAATCTCAGCACGGATTCGAAAAGCTCGTTTGGCTTTTGCCAACTTGCGTCACCTTTGGTGAAATATCCGTCTATCAGTAAAAGGACGAGTATACTGCGCGGCAGTTCGTTCTGTTTTACTTTACGGCAGCGAAACATGGCCATTAAGAGTAGAAGACACTCGTAAGCTATTAGTATTTGACCACAGATGCCTTAGAAATATTGCTGGCATCTGCTGCGATCACCGGGTAAGTAATAGTGAGGTTAGACGCAGGGTATCAGGGAATGATGGTAAATCAGTTGATGAGGTTATGAATCTTCATCGACTGAGATGGTTGGGCCACGTGTTACGTATGCCTGAACACCGACTACCACGACGTGCAATGCTATCCGGTATTGGAGATGGTTGGAAGAAAGTTAGGGGCGGCCAAACCAAAACGTGGCATCAGTGTTTGAAGACACTAACTTCTAGTCTGAGCCATGTTGGTAGATGCAGACTACTTGGTTGGGTCCACGTGACTTTAGTAAACAATGGTTGGAGACTCTTGGTGACATGGCTCAGAATCGATCACAATGGCGAGATTAAAATCACTTCATATCTTTCTTTTTACGAACCAATTCTTTCTTCTTGTAGTATATCTCTATATGCAGTCTTTCTTTTATATATTACCACCTTTGACATAACCACTGCTATGAATCCGGTGTTCATCTCGTTGTGCTGATGCGGTATGGCAACCTGCACCGATGCACATATGTGCCTGGTCCTACGTTGTAGCTGACTGAAGTTGGCTAAAACCTCTATAACATTTCACTACCACATTGTTTGTTTTACGAAGGATTTCCACAGCAAAAGGTAAATCGAATAGACGTCACATTGTTAGTCCTCGTTCCGATGCTTACCTTTTACAAATATGAACCTTTTTAATGGTTACCCTTCTGTTTACGCCCTTATTAGTGTAAAACGAATAAAACTCGAATTCCTTATAAAAGTGTCATAATTCGAGAGAGAAGAAACAATGGATTATATAATAATTAGTTTCCGGGTCATATACAATTAAACAAAGAACAGTTCATCATGTACAATAAAAGAGTTTATAATAATACTAATAACAGTTATTGAAGAAGAAGAAGAGAAAAAACGAAATATACACAATATAGTTTATTTAAATTCTTCGATTCAATTTTTGATCACTTGACAATCTAGTTGATCTTCTAGAACTATTTACTACAGATGATGAGGATGATGCTGGAGATGATGATGATGGTGATGTTTCAATTTTTTTATGAGAATGTTTTAATTTTTTAGGATTACGACTACGTGAATTTGTTGTTGAATGACTTTTTACAGAATTATTATTACTATTGGTATTTTCATTGTCTGAACTTTGTAGGACAACTTTTCCACGACTTGTTTTATTGAATGGTTTTTTTTCTAAATTATTATTGACATTCTTTTGATGACTATCTGCTATTTCAATATTCTTTTTTGGTTTGATTTGTTTACTTGAAGGATTAGTATTAGATACTGTTGGTTTTGAGGTAGGAGTTAGATCGCAATCAACTTCATCATCATCATCGTCGGAAAAATCCAGTAAGTTTTGATGTGATGATTTATCTGTAAAATATTTAGAACAATAACCAGTCAATAGAATAAATTAGCCGATAATGTTTTGATTGAAATCATGAACTGATGAATGTAAGACCACCACTGAGTGGCCATTTCATCCTAGTGTAGGATTCCTCAGTAGTTCACATTGACGATCCCGCAAGTGTAGCCGTGACCAGCGGGATTCAACCACATCAAATATGAGGTAGTTACTCACCGAAGACAATTGAGGATGGTCGCGCAATATCGTGGATTGATTGAACCTAAACATTAACACCGTCGGATGTCGGCCCAATAATCTAGACGTTAAGCGTTCGCGCGTGAGACTTGATTTCGAGTCCCCCGTGTAGAGCCGTGGGTGCGCACTGCTGAGGAGTCCCATACTAGGACGAAATAGCCGTTCAGTGCTTCCAGGGTTTCAATGGTGCTTTAGTATTTATTGGTTCATGATCTCCCCTACCGTAGCTGCTACCTTGACGCGGTGGTCGGGCTTGCCTATCGTGATGACCCAACCGAGCTATAATGGCTGGAACATAAGTTCCTTTAGGTCCTACCATGCCAAGCAGGTCGATTTAAGAACAGCAAGACTAAAGGCAGCAACCCAAGGTCTGAGGGCGAAGTCGTACTGTTGACTGTAGAGGGGTGTGAGAATAGAAAGATGTTTCCCACGGGCAACCTTCTCACAAGGAAGGAGGGTTAGAAAAAGTCGACCATAAAAATGTCACACCTCATGGATTTCTGTCTCCGGCGGTAAGATTTTTTGAACAACGCAGCTAACACGTTAAAAACCTCCCACAAAAAGGCCGTGCGCAACCGGCCTCAAGCCATCGACGTGTGCTGCGACTTCGAAACGCGCATACAGGATCCGAGCAGCGCCATTCATTTTACCTCACTATATTAAAATAAAGAACTAACTCGATCCATGCTTCGTGTATCTGGAAGCCCCAATGCTGCTTCCCGTGGCCTCGCTGGTGTAGGTTCATAATCTCAATTAAAACTCAACAATTTCCACAACTATATACTGATAACTAACAACATATATATAGAATGTTCAAAATACGAGGCAACTTCATAAACCATAACGAAACAAGAATACTTGACATAGGATAGAAGCAAGTCTTACAGTTATGAAATTCAGATTATTTTAAATTCTAAATAACAAAATAAATCGCCTTAGTCAATACTACATGAGTACGAGAACACAGAGTAAAGAATGTTTAACATGACTGTATAAGCTGATTTTTTTTACACAGGCTGACATTAATTGAGTCAGCAATAAAAAGCAGGTAGCACTGTCTAATTGTTTTGACCTAGTTTAGCACTCTTCAGTTAACCTGGTCCGACAAATGTGGCCTAGAAATTACAAACTACATACATGGTGAGAGTTGGTGACCAATAGTTTGGAATCTATAATACAGGGTAGGGTCACCTCGCGAAATCATCATATATTATCACCATTGTTCGTCAGCTTGCACTTGACAAATTTTGGTTAAATAAGGATAATGTAGAAACATTTTCTGGACTTTCTTGTACATTTATAAGTTTAAGATATAGCCGATTATAGTGTCATCAAAGAGATAATAATTTGTCAGCTAAAGTTTGAGATGAAACATGAAATCACAATATAGTCAACTTGATTTTCGTAATACGATGATAGACAGAATCGTATTTCTAATTGAAGGCTGCTCTATTGAGTCAGTTAGCTAAAGAATTGAATAACAGAAGCAAAAGTGACAAGAAACTCTTACTCCTAGCCACTCACCTAATAAAGGATTACCACCAGCAGAAATAGTTCTATTTGATTGACTAAATATCATTGTAGCATTTCCCTGATTCCTTTCAATGATATGATGTTCAGATGAATTAACCAAGTGAAAGTTCACTCGGGCAGATCCAAGTAACGTAGGTTGTGATTGTTGGATACCTTCATTATTCATCAATGTATGATTAGAGTCATCATCATTATCATGAAGTGGAGAAGTATTTACCTTGTCATTTTCATTTTCAGATAATATGGATTCATTCAATCTTGTAGAATCAATACCAAGACGTTCCATTTTTTCAACTAGTTGTTTACGAAAACGATGAAGCATAAGATGTAAAGATCTATCAGCAAACTGTCAGACAAAAAGAAATGTGATAAAAATGGATAAGATTAGTAATGAATTAAATGAAAGATATTATGTTGTAGAACTTCACTGAATTACATTTTTTTGTTAAGAAATCCTCATCAATCAACAATATCACTGACTCATTAGATAGCTTGACTATTAAAAACGAAAGTCTGAATCAATCTACAGTTCAATTCATGAACATTGTTAATTCTAATGACGAAGTCCCTGTTAGATACATTTTTTCCTAGTAATCTATTAAGTTAAAAGGACCAGCACAAAAAGTTCGGTATACATGTATCACATCACGTTCGCGGTAATACAACTCAATTACCTACATTACATAAAGAGGGAAATAGGTTTATTTATTACTGTTCCTATTAAAATTTTATTCACTTCTAATCGTAACAATAAGATTGTCAGTCTAATAATTGCAGTGAAGAATTTTGCTGCAAGGAAATTGAGAAGTAGTATGGAACATCAATTGAAAGTAGAAAACTTGGCAGCAGAAGGCTAAGAAAATCGAGTTGAAGAAAACAGGAAAGAACTGTCAGTAAGAAGAATCAAACAGATTGTGAAAGAAAAATGACTTATTCAGTGTACGGTTCCCATATATTTTACCAAGAAATTCTGTAATTTGGGATTAAAATACATCGGTTGCTCTGAACTGTTTATTTTATTTATTTACTCAAACACATAAACATTGGTACAAGGAGGCACCGAATAGATATGCGACACATAAATCATTCGATTTGAGTGAAGGCTGGGGTACTGCCCGGGAAGCCACGACCCAAGCCTTTGACCTTAAGGTGTAATCCACAAGGCAGTGGAGCATCGTAAGGAGATGCAATCCTATGGTAGCCATTGACCAATGATTGGTTCATATGCCAATTTTTCCTTCAGGATACTGGAGCTCATGTACACCATTAGTTTGGAACCAGGGTTTTCCAAATTCTCTAGGTGGATCCTCCATATCCACCAAACCAGTTAAAGCGCCGGACATTCGCTTTTCGTCCTTTCAATTTCTTAATCAACCTCCCTGCTACGAGAAGGCAGTGAGTAGGACTTCTCTGTTAGTGGTTGTATGCACGTGGCTACTTGAAAGCATTTCGAGAGGAAGAGCTGAGTCTCCCCACTCTCTGCCGTATCAGGGCATTTGGGAGCCATCCAGAATTGTGCTCTCATTTATTAAAATAATACTGAAAGATGTTGGTCATTATGAATGACAATGAAAGTTTAATGATTAAACTGATCATTTAAGTTGAAATTTCATCTTAGTTATTAAAATTGCAAAAGATACTTTTATATACAATCAGATATTTATAAGTAATACTATTGAATTGATTGAGAAATAGACAATCATTTCATAGAATTATTGATATAATACAATAAGAAGAGAATTTATCATTCATTACAATGTTCAATTGATTAATAAAGATACATTAGTAAACAAAGAGAAACTAACTTTTGACATTGAATCAATTAAAGTTAATAATTCTTTATGAATTTTTATATTTTCAGTAGAAGGTCGTAATTGAAAAATCATACGTAGATATAATTTAGCTTCAGCGGATTGAGGTGCTTTTAAAACTTCAGTAGCCAAAATTGATACCAAACGATCATGATGTGGATTGATCTTAAAAGATAATTGTGCATGTTGTTTTAGGCAAAAAAAAACAACAAAAAAAGTAGTATATTTCAAAACCTAACATGAGATACATGAACTTAGGATGACGATTGTGATCTCTAAGATGAATGGACTCATTGTAAAGTTCTCATTGTTTTTCGTAACATTTGGTCATAATTTACCATCCTGAGACAAAAAGCAAGTTGGGAGAAAGTGAGGGACGGACAAATCAAGATGTAACACTAGTCTACAGTCATTAGCAATTGAACCGAGCCATGTGAATAGGTGTAAACTACCTGTTTGTGGTCTGCGTCATAGTTCTTACCAATAAATAGAAACTTTGAAGAACACGGATCAGGATCGTTCGCCATGGAGGAATTACACTCTCTATCTATTTATATCTTTGTTCATTCCTGAAACCCCTAAGACTTTTACCACTTTTGCTATTGTAGGATTTGTCTCGAAACGATTTTGTCTGTGATAATGTGATGTGACAACTTGAACCGATGTACATATTTGCCAGGTCCTACGTTGTATATGGCTGACTGATTGAAAAAACCAACGCGACCTGCTAGTCAGTTGTTGACAGATCCTAACGGCTCACTTCTTTTCGAGGTATGTGCTGATGATATTGTTCAGAAGGGTATTGAAAGCTAAACAACCAATCCATCCAACTCGGAGATCACAACAACTCCAACAACAAAAAGTATAATAAAGTAATAATTGTTACACGTTGTAGGAATGTAAAACATGATAACCATTGAGGTAATAGAATGCAACCTTGTATAATAGTGTCAGTAGTATTTCTAAATAACCATAGCACCAATTACAGTCAATAGTATTTGGAAAACGTAATTGATTAGAGCGATAGTAATTAGGAAATAATGTCAGAACTCAGAGTCTTGTGACATGTTAAAGAACGAATACATCTTCGATTGCTTTTATGATCGATTCAGAGTCTTGTTAGATCTTTAACCATTGAAGAATGGATATGCTAATATAGGGTATCAAAAAACATGGAACGCATACATCAATGATAAAAGTGTGTACTTCGTACATCATTGAATACATGATCGGTATTTTAGATGAATTTTACAGGGCAAAAATAACCATATCATAGTATTTGATATAAGGTTCGTTGTTAAAAGTTGATCGATTTGTAGTGTGCATAATGAAAAGTTTACGAAAAAGTAACACATTTACATTTTAATTTAATTGACAGTTAGTTATCCAGGCAACTTGAAAAATTCAATTTACTCATGAAAGATGAAAGAAATAGCAGTAAGTTGAGATCAAATTCATAAACTATTTTGATTGATTGTATTAACTCTATAAATACTCTTCCCAGGATTTAACGCTAATACAAAGTGTAAAACGATGATAGTGATTAGTAAGCACAAACCCAATATGTATTTTGGTGGAGTTTTGTTCTCTGAGCTGGATGGTTTGATCGTGGAGCTTTCATCGTAAGCTCCACGACCAAACCATCCACCTGAACTACAAATCTTCTCCACTATCCCAATATGAATTACTATAAATTACTAATGTGAAATTTGAGGCAAATAAAGCTATTCAAATACTAAGAAGAGGGAATTAGTCGATTGGGTTATGAAATATAAAAAAAAATTTACAATTTTTTCATCAATTTGTCCAGTTGATGATATTATTTTTGATTTGTTTGAACTTGGACGGGAATCTTCATTATCATTATTGATAATATCTTTTCCTTCTTGATTAGTGGTTGAATTTTTACCCTCTGATCGACTTTTCAAATGAGTAGTATCAGTTAAACGAGCTAATAAACTAGCCACATCATTTGGTTCAACTTCAGATAAAGGTGAAGAGGCAGGTGCACGAATCAATGTAGTTAATGTAGGCAAAACAGCATTAGTGAGTGCAGATTGATGTTCAAATGCATCCATTCCAACACCATTAGCACAAGCATAATCTGCAAAGAAATATGCTAAACCACGACGAAGTTGTGGACTCTCTTCACTACTTGGATTAAACCATAACAATAATAATAGACTAAGTATATGACTTGAAACAATACGATCATAAATTAATAATTTGGCAAGACCAAGTGCACCAGTTGAACGTAATCCATCATCAGACTAAAGAGTTAGAAAAGAAACAAAAGTAAAAGACATAAAAATAGTAAGACGTATTCACTTTATCTCCTAATTTCTCTACGAATGTTTATGACCATATTTACACAAATTCATAAGATTCCTTAAAACTACCACGTGAAGCCCGGATAAAGGAGGGTTGGGCATGGGGTTAGCGACTCCATCCTGTAGATAACTATCTTCCCCACCATCTCAAAGTCTATATGTATTATGTAACGAAATTGTAAGCATACGCTTATAACCGGACTAACAACTTAACGGATAGTAATTCTATAAATATCGAATAAAATATGATGATTTTCTATGAGGATACAAGAGCTTGATACAGTCGGTTAGAGACCTTGAATGACATGGCTCAAAATCGTTTGCAATGACGCTGGTGCATTCACTCTTTGTGTTCTCTCAAATTCTAATCTTCCGAATTCTTCATGTCCCTTTTTTTCTCTCTTCAAATTTATTTCACTGAATTATATTCCTTGAACAACATCTTCAAACCCTAATGTTTCCGATTACTGCTTATACTTTGACTACCACTACCACAATGAGATTTGAATCGACAATTTTATCTGTGTGTTAATGTGGTATGGCAAATTGAACTGATGTACGTACGTACGAAGATCTACGTTGTTGACTGACTGACAAGTCCTACTAAGTGACTGTTTCTTCTTCGTTTTAATTTACAGTATATCTTGTAATTTATGCATTTTATTTTGAAGATTTGTACTTAACTACGAGAGTAATAGTTTCTCGAATTCCCCCCGCCCAAAAAAAACAACCAACTCAACTTTCAACTATTGCGCGTTGTGCATTTGAATACCGGTGAATTAATCAAAATTACAATTACAAATAATAATCATAACTTATTTTGATAATGAATGAGATTGTACACGGTTTTTGAATTATATCCAACTAATTTTTATAATTTATTTGGATAAGAAATACTTGAGTTAGTAATAATGAAGGTAGAAATTGGCATATATGTTCATAGGTTCACGTCATTACACTACACTATAGACTGATCATTTAAATGAATACATTTACGATTTCTACAGTACATAGTAAAGATTTAAAAATCTTGAACACGTTTAAATGAAGGAATATGACTTAACAAGATTATAGGTATTTGATTACAGGTAGCTGTAATACCTCATGTGTATGTATGATCAAATGAACTACCAAATAGTCAGTATTGAGATAAGTTGTTAAGTTTTTGTTTCGACATTCCTAGTTCTCATTCAATCTATTTCTATACCATCCAACATTGCATATAGAGGCAGAAAGTGGTTGGCATATGTAACATATCCTAACCACACTTGTTGATGATGATTTACTACGTCATTACCGATTTTCATTTATATCTGGTAGCCTCAGCATTATTCACTCGGTGGTTGCAACATATATGGGTAATGCTCCTAAGAAATTTTCCAGTCGCAATAGACTCACAGTCTAAAGGTTTGAGTGTTTCAGCACAGTCACTTTTAAATTTTACCTTCTGCATTGAGATTTGATCATCTAGATAGTAATTTTCTATTGTCCATTCTATAGTATTAGCTTATTTATTTACTTCAACACATAAACATTGGTACAAGGAGGTACCAAATAGATATGCGACACATAAATCATTCGATTTGCGTGAAGGCTGGGGTACTGCTCGGTTGCCCAAATCGAAACAGGTGCATTTCTTGGGGAGCCACGCCCCAAGCCTTTGACCTTAAGGTCTAATCCACAAGGCAGTGGAGCATCGTGAGGATACGCAGTTCCACGTTAGCTGTTGACCAATGATTGGTTCATATGCCAATTTTTCCTTCATGATACTAGAGCTCATGTACACCATTGGTTTGGAATCCGGGTTTTCCAAATTCCCTAGGTGGATCCTCCATATTCATCAATCCGGTTGCAGCTCCGGACATTCGCTTTTTGTCCTCTCAATTTCGCAATCAATGCACGTGGCTACTTGAAAGCATTTCGAGAGGGAGAGCTGAGTCTCCCCACTCTCAGTGGTACCAGGGTATTTGAGGGGGGAAGCTACAGGTTCATATAACCTTATCACATAAACCGAAACTGAAGTTGCAATATTCCATTATTTTCTATTTTTAAAAATAACAAACAGAAGATAAACTGACAAGTTAATTATCTACTATTCGATAGCATTATCTAAATAATTAAGTTATCACAAACTGTTTGTAAGAAAATCCAAAGAATTAATTAAGTGTTGAAATATACAAGCAAATTTCTTTCAATTTTCTTTTTACCTCTTTTTCCAAAAGTGAAGTGATCGGTTTTAATAAACGATAAGCTGTTTTGGACATTTCATCACATCGAACTAACATACCCTGTGGATAACTATGAGACTGATCGGTAGAATCTTGTGAAGTTTGTCGTGTTAGTACAGCATAATCATGTTTAGCTGTATAAGAGAGAATACAATAGAATAAATTAGAAAATTCACTTCACCTGTTTAATCTTTCAAAAGATTGATATTCAGAGAAATTATACTTTAAACACGAGGGTATTTCACTGATTAAAATCATGAGTCAATTGAAGCTAGAACACCATGGAAAACCTGGAAGAATTGGACAGTCGTTTCGTCTTAGTATGGGACTCCTCAGCAGTGCGCATAAACGATCCCGCACCCTGCGAGATTCGAACCTAGGACCAATCAGCCTCGCGCCAGGCGCATAACCAACTAGACCACTGAGCCGGCATCCAACGGTGTTAATGTCTAACGTCAACCAATCCACGAAGCTGCGCCACCGTACACAATTGTCTTCAGTGAGTTGATATCTCACAACAGACCTGGTTAAACTCCACTGGTAACGGCTTCTCACTAGAACTCCAGGAGTGTCTCTTGAAGTCAGTCACTAGTGAGCAGATGATTGAATTCATGAGTCAATTGACTTATGATTTCAATCAGTGAAATTTCTAAAATCTCCGCAAAACCCCTACTGGCAAGGGTATTTACTGAAACTTATTGAATTTTCCTAAACAGTACATAATTTGAAAACGAGAGATATTTCTTCTGTATGATAAATCAACACCGCCTTCCGTGATATATAGTGCTGGCTTAAATAGGAGTAGGTTGAAGGAAACAGCTAGAGGGGGTCAAAGCAAGACATTGCTAATTATTTTGTATATTTTATCATGATACACATGTGATGTGACTGTATGAATCGATCCACATGTGTTCCAAGCCAAACCTTACTTATGACAAATTGAGGAAAGTACCGAACTGTCACAAGGCAAACCCTCACATGGGATCCTCAAGGCCAAAGGAGGAGAGGAAGATCAAAGAACACATCACGTCGAGAAACGGAGACAGACATGAGAAAAATGAACAACAATTGGATAGAACTAGGAAGAAAGGCCCAGGACAGAGTGGGTTGGCCTATACTACATTGGGAGTAATACGCTTAAGTGAGTATAACAATGACAACAAACAATTTATCGCCGATTGTAAATTCGATTTACCAAACAAGTTATCAAATGTAACATTATTCATGTTTTTAACTCAAGTTTTGGGAGTAATGTTTCACACTGTTTTCTAAATAACTGAGGGTTATGCAACAGCAATGATGATTGAGTTAACTGAACTTCAGAAAAACAGATACATTGTTCAACTAACTGAATAAATATCATGGAATAGACATTTCTATTCCAGACAAAATATTAAGCTAAGAAAATATGACTTCTTTTATAGAACAAATAAATAGTGAGGAATGAAAATAATGGTGTTAAAACAACCCATTATCATGCTCTCCCTATTGTGGCTATCATATTTCGCTTCCCTAGTTTGAAGTTGAGAATATCTTAAGATTTATCACATAGCTTAGAATATATAACAACGTCCCATCAATGAATTCCTATTAGATTTCACCGACTGTAGAACCATAATACAGTTAATGGATCTCTGTACATGACATGTAAATTAATTAAAACGACAAAGCGTATGGGAAATTCTACAGAAATAGGAATATTTCCGTTTGTTTTAGACGCTTGTAATTATAATCCCCTCACTCTTAGTTTTGTAAAAGTTTGATCAATAAAAGCACAAAAAGTATTTACTCTTTAACAATTATTCAGCTTATACGATCATATCTCTAAGATATGAAGTAATAAGATTTGATAAAGGTACACTAACTGATACAAGTCTTCATTATTATTAACTACAGCAACTTACATGCTTTGATATTCTGTTCTTCTTCATCGTCATCATCTTCATCAACGATAATAGTATCAGTTGGCACTAATCGACTATTTGGATTAATATTAGCATCATGAAATGGACGAAACCCATAAATAAGCAAACAATCAATAATACAACCTAGTGCTGTTTCACTAATCATCAAATGATCCACACGCATAGCCTAGAAAACATACACAGAATATGAAAAATAGAATTATAGACTGAGAATTGTTAACCTAATTCTAAAAAGAGAAAAAAAAACTTCCGTAGTCAGGGATACATATTATTGTGAATAGTGAATTCTTTTCGATTTCGACAAGTTACAATAATTGAATCTAAAAAACCCAATCTTAAGAGTAACCTGTAATTCACATGATGAGACATATCATAATAATTGTTCGATAGATTGTAAACTCTATATACTCAGCAACTGAACCATATATAATTTATGTCAGAATTAGTGATACAACGCGACTGCCCGAAAGTTGACTACATAACCTATAAGTTGAAACCTAACTAACTTAACTACTAAGTTACCGCATTAAAAGGTATGCTTGAAGATTTTACAGATCGGATGTTTCAACTGACAGATTTCAGAGATACTCTTTTTCTCTTTAACTAACATGAAAACAATATCTAAGTATAATATTTACATAAAAATTATAGTAAAAAACAAATAACACAATTGAAGAGAATACAGTACATTGAAATCTTTAAGTTTCAAAATTATTCATAGTAAGAAAGGTGATCACGATATAACAATAACAACAATTCACATATTATCAGAATAAGGATTTGTGGAGATCGCAGTTATTTCAATAGTTGCATTCATGAGTCGATCCAAGTTAGACCACTACTGAAAACTTGGAAGCACTGGACGGCCGTTTCATCCTAGTATGGGACTCCCCAGCAGTGCGCATACACGATCCCACTTCGCGAGATTTGAACACTCCTCAGTGACTGGCTTCAAGATGGATTTTCTGGAGTTCTAGTGGGAAACGGTGAGCTGTGGAGTCCAATCCGTGTTGGCTAGAGATAGGTATCTACACCAGATAATGAATGAATGGTTGCACACTGCTGAGAAGTCTCATACTAGGAAGAAACGACCACCCAGCACTTCCAGGTTTTAAATGGTGGTCTAGCTTAGATCGACTCATGAATTCAAATATTAAGATTAACATATTTACCAAATAAAGAAACTCACTGAGTAAAACACATGAATATATTGTAATGTTAATGGTAAGTCCATTGTACAACAAAGACCCAAAGCTAATATCGCTTGATTACGAACAGCAACATCTGGATGTTGCATACTTGGCAATATCTAGGGAATAAAAAACATTCACAAAAAAACTAAAACCTGGAGAATACAATCTCATTGGAGGGAAAAAGACAAAACCAGGAACAAAAAAACTATGATAAACAATAAACTCATTGTTCCATAATTTCATGCACTTTTTATCAGATGATTGAAAAAGTCAAGAGTCGACCTAGTGACAACAACTGATTGTAGCTGTTACTTTGATATGATGGTCAGACTTCTTTATCGTGATAACAAAACTATATTAATCCAAGTATTCATTCCTTAAAGTTCTTCTATATGAGGTAAATCAGATGGAGAACGGTAAGACAAAACAGGGAAATTTAAGGTTCAAGAGAGAAGTCGTACTGTTCAATGTTCTAGAGAATGTGTGGGATGGTGTTATTTTCTGATACTTGGCCACCTCAACTATAATGCCTTTCCAGAAAGTAAAAGGAGATTAGAAGTAGGAGTCAATAACACAACTCTTCTTGCTCTGCAGATATGTCTGGAAAAGAACGAAGATACATCGAAAATCGATAGTATAAAAGACATGTGTTGTTAGCCTTAAACAGTTGTTTCTCCTTTTGTTGGGGATGTTTGTTAGGATAGTCGGAAAAAGAGACCAATAATTATCATGTTAAGTCCAATGGTGTCCTTGAACCTTAAATGTACATTTCTTATTGGTCGATGTTTATTTCACTTGTTAAATATTTTGTAAATGTTGTTTCCTATTTTATGGTACGATGTGGTATGCTTGGTTGGTATATGAACAAAGTATGTTTGAAATATAATGATTCATAACCCAGAGGCTGTGACTTGTGTTCTTGATTCGACTGGCTGGGATAGACAGCGAAGCAGGGCCAATCAGGGCACTAGGTCGTCCTTACGTGTTTTCCGTGTCACTGTCACAGATCGCGATCGATAAATAAACGCTGCTTATCAAACCCTGCGTTACAACAACGTTAGATCGCCAAAACTCATATTTTGTAATTTTATCTTTGTGGAACTTGTATGCAGATGTATGCTTGGGCATTTCTTACCACCTACGCACATAGTTGATTGACGAACTTATCGATTAAATGTTTAAAAACTTCCATAGCAATTTCGATCATATATATTTTGTATAAATACGCTTGATGGACCTGGTATCTTCTGGTTGTCTGTAGAATACACTTTCTACATCTTACCAAGACTTCTGGATCGAGTTAGCTGAGTCGGGGACAACGGACCAGTATAGCCTATCGAGTCTCTGAATCCTTGATTCTTCGTTTCGTTCCAAGTAAGACGAATCAGTAGTGGCATTCAATTTTGACGAACACGACACCTTTGTAGTCACGCACCCAGGTAGTCGAAGAACACAATTTAGTGTCCTTTTTTCAGGTTGTTTACGGAAAGGAATCCTTCCGAGGTGTTAAAAACCAGGAGATGACAACATTCTGATATTGCCAACAACACTCGCGTCCATCTTGATAGTGACAATAATCAATCACTGAGACAGAAAATCTGAATAGTAGTGTAAAAATAAGTAAAAGTGAGCTCCTAACATAATAAACACAAAATATTTCAAGGTATAAATAAGTGTGTCGGTATGTATATTATATGTGACGAAAAACATACTAAGCTGTCCAATAGTGAACGTAATGAAGCTGGCAAACTCCACAGAGTAGGAGATTGTTGTATAATTAAAGCAGCCATTCTGTTTGCCTTAAATAATACAGATGATGAACAACGTTTAATAAGGCTTTGTGTTGCATCTTCAACTGCATCCGCTTCGTTATCATCATCTCCATCATTTTTATCATTATTTGTACCTCCATCGGGGTTTTCAGTGTTTAGATCTTCTCTATTTTCATTCTTAATCTGTTCATCAGATCCTGGTGACAGCGAAACAGGAGGTTTATCTGTTCTGTAAAAGACAGGAGAAGTTGACAAGTGTAAAATTATAAATCTGATGTCATATACAGTTAAATATATGTTGGATATAAGATATTATATCATTATCTTAAGCTTTTAATTATCCCGTTGATGTTATTTAGTGATAACGCGTAGTTGTTTGGAGTGAAAGATATTGGATTTGAGACATAATGAACATGCATACTGGGATGAAGTACATCCAGCTAATGAGTCCCGAATAGGGCGAAACACGCGTTCCAGATTCCACTGTTAGCCACAATCCATCCTATTATATAAAAGATACTATATTTTCGGGTTGTTCTTTAGAATGAGCTATTTTAGGACAGGTTAACGAATCAAAATATGCTCATCAGTTAATGACCTGGTTACATAAAACAGCAGCTAAAAGCAAATTTTGCGAGTAACCTTTCGTCCATACGTTCTAGCAATAGGCCAGAAGAAAATCCAAACTTATCCAGAAATCATTAATATATATCAGATAAAGAAAAATGTGCATTAGTCTGGACTTAAAAGGTAATGTTACACTTGGCTAAGTTACGCAACTTAATTGTTTGTCTTATGCTAACCGGTCTCTGAGAGATGGACAAAATAATTCAACTGAGCAATCGGATGTAGGTATATACCTGTTCACCTGCTTCTGCAAACTGAGGTATATATATCATTTATCAAGAGATTCTTTCCAATGGATTAAAAAGTACGATAGTGCTCGTGATGACAATCAGTTCGCCATAAAAACATGTTCTTGATAAGATCAATCAAAACCAAGATAGGAAATTTAGTGTTTTCGTATTATGATATGGTAACAATCATATAGTCTGAAAGGAGAGTTACATTGAAACGTTTACTCCCAGCCATATAAAGCAGATTCTATTCGAAACATAATTTTTTAGTGAAAATTCACTCCTTTTTACTTTGATAAAAAAACGCAAACAAATAATATCATTCATTATTGATCTATTGAATTATAGGCACTCTTATTTATTTATTTGAACACACAAATATTGGTACAAGAGAGCGCCAATATATATGCGCCACACAAAACAATGAGAATTCGAAGAGAAATAGAAAAAAAAGAGAACAATAACGAAGAGATTGGTGTAAGGTAATGTGCTAGTAATCAGGGAACGCAAAGGTACAATCAGAAGAAATCTTTCAGGTAAGGGAGACAACCACTTTTTATGAAGAAAGTAAAAGAAGGTTACAGCAGGATCGCCACTGGCTTCTATTCTGAGCCATATCTGATAACGTCTCTAGCCACTGTGTTGCACCGTCTTTCAGACCCCAACCAGGGAGTCGTGAAGGACCGACAGAAGCCAGTCCTTTGCAGCTTTCTTTCATACCACGACACCATGTCATGCACTGACCACCTCTCCGTTTCTTCCAACCAGTCCCAGAGTACGCAAATAATGCACGACGTGGAATTCTCTGGAACGACATTCGGAGAACATGTCCAAGCCACCGAGTCGGTGTTTCAAGATGGTGACACCAATTGAGTTATCATCTCTGTGCCCGAACACACCATGACGAACCTCTGCATTACTGACATGGTGTTGCCACTGGATGTCAGCAATCCTTCGGAGACAGCGATGATCGAACAGAGAGTCGTCTAACGTCCTCAACTCCGAGAGACCAGGTTTCACAAGCATAGAGCAAAACTGCTCTCACCGACGCGTTGTAGATCCGACCTTTTAAAGCCAGACTAACATCACGCTAAAGATGGCCCAGATTGGCATAAGCCGCTCTGGCTTTCACTATACGTGCATTGATCTCATCACTCACACCCCCCACCAGCACTTATGCAGCTACCCAGATACACGAACTTCTGGACTACGTATATCTGCTCACCGTCCAGGAAGAGTACAGGATTGGAATCCTGCCAGTCTTGTAGAAGTACTTTGCACTTGGAAGGTGCAATCCACATACCATACCTACGGACACTGATTGTCAACTGATTACTGTGCGATAATGCCCAACGCATAGGCACTCTTATGTTCCTTCAAATGGCTTAAATATATTAAGGATTTCATTTATATGGTCCTTAAATTGTAATTTGATTGGGCTTTCAGAGAACCAGTCTGTACATAAATATTGTGAAAACTACAATGAGTAAGTAATCCTGGAATCATTACTTATATGGTAATGGACTTGAGTATATAATAATCTTCTCTGTTGAATAAATTAGATTTTGCAGCGAAAATAGTCTAATCTAAAGTTAATAGGAACCCGAGTGGAAACCTTGAAAAATTCATATGCTAAGCAAAACCATCATAATTATTTGGGTTTCTTCAAGTTTTTATAGACAACTTCGCCCGGAGCCCATCCGTGGGCTACTGCCGGTCCCAAGCCCGGACAAAGGAGGAGGGTTGGGCATGAGGGTTGACGACCCCATCCCGTAGAAAACTAACTCGCTAAAAAAACGCTAACCAGAAAGTTTTTATAGACAGATTGGCTGATACAGGGTAAAACATTTTATAAGCGTTCCTTCAGTCAAACAGTTTCGTCCTCACACCCATGTTGCAGAATAAATATATGCAGTGTGATGTAATGTGATGTGATGTAATTCATTTACCAATTAAACGTTCAAGTAATAAGCTTTGAGTAACAACTATTTTTAACTGGAACTTGGTTACATTACTTGGTTTTGATGGAGTTTTGTTCTCTGAACCTGAGCTACAAATCTTTTCCACCATCTCGATATTACTTGGCTTCTCGAACCGAAGTAGAATGGAATTAAAACATATTGGTAGAAATCCATAAGTTTCAAACAAGTAAATCATTGTGCTTCAAAAACATCAAAGTACAGAGTATAATAAGCTCATTTGAAATTACATATGATAGTACAATCATATTCAATTTAACCATGATCTCAGTCAGTCAGCTACAATGTATGACCGACCCCACCTCATTAGTAAAACAGGATGAACACCGAATTCATAGAAGTGGCTAATTCAGTGGTTGTAATATATAAAAGAAAGATTGTGTATAAGGATGTAGTGTAGTAAGAAAGAATTAGTTCAAAAAAAGAAAAATATCAAGCGATTTTAATCTCATAGTTTAAGGGAAGACAAAAAGTGTATACACCTACGCCATTGTGATCGATCCTGAGTCATGTCACCAACAGTCTTCAACCATTGGTTACGATAGTCACGTGGACCCCAACTAAGTAGTCTGCATTTACCAACATGGCTAAGACTAGAAGTTAGTGACTTCAGGCACTGATGCCATGTTTTGGTTTGGCCACCCCTAACTATCTTCCAACCAACCTCAACACTAGTCAGCATTGCGTGATCTACTGTAGATCTGAGAGTAGAAAAGCGATTTATACATTCAGCAGGAATATTTTTTTCAAATTATTGATTTCATAAATGTCAAGGATCAACAAAAGAATTAATTGAGAGAAAAACAAACTCACGATATTCCAATATTTCCACGTAATTCTTGTAATAATTCTGTACGTTCTACATCTAATTTATTACAAGCATCACGAAGTTCAGTTGCACGTTCAAATTCTTTACGTGATACACAATCATGTAATGCTTCATTAAGTTCATTCATACGAACTTCAAGACTAGCAATCTTAATGTTTATTACAATAATAAAAAGAAAGATATATGAAAGTAATAAGTTAATTTTCAATCATTTACCTATCATGTAAATAAATCTAATTTGATTACTTGTTCATATTGATTATGCAACTATTTGATGATTGCATCACATTCATTTATAGATTCAGTTTTGAGTTGTTACGATGTTTTAATTTACTCGACTCAAATTTCAAGGATGTAGCGAACGTGTTATTTTTTAAAAAAAATAAAGGTAATTACCGCTTATCTGAATTATTCTCCTTAATAAATTTCTTGAGTAAGAGAGTATAACAAGTTGTCGTATACAATGTATAACTAATTAAGACCAAGAGTATGTGATAGGCGGAGGTGAATTCACACATAACACTTGTCTAAGCTCACATACTGTCATATATCCATTCTCTTAGCTAGAAATGATGCACTCTAATGAATGAACATGGTATTATATACTCGGTGGATGTTTAAGATAGTATGCCTGGAAGAGAGATTTATATGCAAACCAGTGGGTGATGTGCAATCTTATTCGATTGCCAACTACAGCTTTTATTATTATTATTCACAAATAGCTTATGGGTGAATAAATGTTGTAAAGAAAACATTTTGGGTTTCTTCAGAAATCCAACAATACACAAGTTTCAATGTTGCCATATTTGAAAAAAAAGATTCTGTGTAATTGGGAAGAATATTAAGTTGACTTTAAAGAAAGGGAGAAAATAAGGGAACAGAAATAAAGGAAACAAGAAATATGCAAATAGTCTAATAAGCGTGTTTGCACAATTGATTGATCACTGGGTGATCAATGTCATGCTTGTCTAGTCCTTATTAATGCAGATCGAATGCTATCGATCATGTTGCAATGTGGCCACCAGTCTAGGTGACTCGACACTGCGGGCACTATATATTGAGATTAGATCGTGGTTGGAGGTAATCGACAGGAAACCCTGGACCCGGGTTTCGTGCTACTTGGCACTCGTCAGCAAGGTGTACCTGTAATCTTGAGGGAACTCGTGCTCCCTGGCGGATTCGATCTCGTGTCACCCAGCTTAACAGTCAGAGACGTTACAACTGAGCTATCCGGGTGGTGATCAATGTCATGCTTGCTTGGTGACACGAGATCGAATCCGCCAGAGAGCACCAGTTCCCTCAAGATTACAGGTACACCTTGCTGACGAGTGCCAAGTAGCACGAAACCCGGGTCCAGGGTTTCGTGTTGACTACCTCCAACCACCATCTAAAGCGTGTTTGTGCATATAGAACAAGATTAAACGATTATATATGTCAGTCAGTTAATCAGCTACAACGTAGGACCATCAGTCCAAGTTGTCACACCTCGTTAGCACATCAAGATGAACACCAAATTTATAGAAGCAATTACCTCAATGGTGTAATATATAAAGGAAAGATTGCATAAAAGGATATGATACAGGAAGAAAGAATTAGTTGGTAAAAAGAAATATGTGAAGCGATTTTAATCTCATAGTTTAAGGGGAGACAAAGAATGAATAAGCCTACGCCATTGTGATCGATTCTGAGTCATGTCACCAAGTCTTCAACCATTGGTTACGATAGTCACGCGGAACTCAACCAAGTAGTCTGCATCTACCAAACACGGCTCAGACTACAAGTTGGTGACTTCAAGCACTGATGCCATGTTTTGGTTTGGCCGCCTTTAACTTTCCTCCAACCAACCCTAACACTAGTCAATGCACGATTGCTTTGGTGCACGCTGATTGGCTAATTCTTATCCAATCAGCACTAGTCGATAGTTGGAGAACACTCTAGAATCTTCTTATGTGAAAAACTATAAATATACTAACGTTTTCCCTATTGTGCTTCTTACTTGCTTCATACTTCTATCTAACCTTGTTATTTGGAATATAATCTCTTTTCTGTTCAACCGTGTTCTGATTTGAGGACTTGCCGAGTGAATCGGTGTCCGAGAATACTAAGCAATAGGAATAGCTGGGTCATAACCGTAGGAAAGAGATTATAACAGTCAGATTAAGGGATAAAATGCTGATCAATTGATATAATTCAATGATACGATATGATCTAATGACAATCAGTTACAAAATCAAATTGTTGACTTAAGAACCCTATTGTAAAGATATTCGAAGACAAGAGAGGTGTCTTTTGGAAGAGATATTTTATTAATAAAATATATTTATATAACAAAAATATTAATATGATCAGATATTTATAAACTAGATAATATCCACTTTGAAGATCCATTACTCTTCAATGAATGAAACCGATTCTCATCATGTTAATTCAGTTTAGTGTTATATATTTCATATAAATAGAGAGCTGAACTCAACAATATCAAAAACATCCACTTGATCTGTAAATTGAAAACATCATTTCAGTGAGATGTACTTTGAATGAGAAAATGACATTCATCACAGTCTCTTTTTCTTATTTGGATAGAACACCTTTTTTGTGTTGTGTAATATTTCTTGGTGTTGCTGTAATAATTAGATAAAATTCATCTAATAACGATGATAATAATACAGCAACAATGCAAGTGCATGAACAAAAAGCGCATGTACTAGAAAAAAAAACCCACTACTCATTGGTTGAACGCAATACGTTTGAATTTGAATTACACTTTACCTATAAAGGTTAACAACACAACCCAACCACCATTCAAGCCAAAAGAGGTGAAGCATAGATTGAGCGTGTGATACAATGATTTAAAACATTTACTAGTTGGTTATACTTCTCCAAATGTGATGTGAATAATTCAAAATCAACTCATTACTTCAAGAGTACAATAACTCAGTAATTACGAATACAAAAAAAGAAGGAAAAATCACTTTATTTAATTAAGAAAAAAAAAAGCATTTACAATAATAACGTACTTTTAAACGAATACTGATCTCTTTCTTTTTTGACAAGGCAGGTTGTAGATTTGTACATTCTGTTTCTTTTGTCAAACAACAATTTTCATTAGACTCAACTGGAACAGATATTGCACTTTTCAATGAGTTTTGTGGTTCTACTGGATCACAAAGTTCACTAATCATTTCAATTACACTATTTATACGACGTCGCTACAATATAATGAACAAGATGAAGTCAAAACAAAATAACTAAAATATAAGTAAACATACAAGATAGATTATCTCCGACCAATTGATTAATGAATTATGGTATGTCAATGGGATACGTTTAATTGAGTTAATCTTATATCGATATTGAAAATCAGGCGAAATGCTTTGAACAACTCACGCTTCCTAACTTAACATAGGAGTAATAGTAACGCCTCATAATCGATATGGCTAATATTACCATAGAATATAAATCTGAGACTTGTAAGAGTACAGTGATTCCAAGAAGCTTATTAACTTTTCAAGGCTTATTATCAGTTTTCCGATCTTATCATCGAATAAACATGTCTACATTATTTTATTCATCTGAATGAGAATAGACTTTTATGGAAAATTCATTATTTACAAGATCGTTTGAAGAGCTGGCTAGATAAATTTACAACACAATGATATAGGTAAGACATTCACAGAAATTATGATGTTTAAATATCTCTATTTCACCATCACGACTGATATTGAGTGAACCATTAATGAAGACCTATGTTTGTCAAGTTTACTCTAAAGAAAATCTTGTTGAGTTGGGTTGTGCACATAAAAAGAAGTAGGCATATAATGTGATTCACAGTGTCGTTTCCATTTTGTAATGGTGAAAAGAGAAAGTTTAGCAACAATTTTCAACATTATAATCACTATCTAAATATATTTTGGCGACACTATAATTTATGGACGAACCAGTAGTCACATAACAGATAACAGGTTTCGGATTTTGGCGCGAAATTCATACACTCATTAGACCTAATGAAGTTTTGGCATCATAGCTAATGTTAGTTCGTGATGAAAACACTAAATCTAATTTCTAACCTTAATTATCAACTGTAAATCATAATTCTAATTCCTCACACAAGTTCATAATCCTCATTTGGTCCCGGTCATTATGTGGAAACTTTCAAGGTCAGTCTGGCGTCGCTCGAAGGTTGTCCATAAATTAGTCACACCAAATCGGCTTCTCAATTCTGGTTGACCAAGTCAAGGTAGTATAATTACACTCAAGTGGCAACAGTGAAAAAAAATAAATGAGGTAACTCTCTCTAAACACTTACGAAACATACACAACACTAAAACTAAGAATTAAATTTCACTATCATGAAGAACAAATAAACTACTCACCAGACTTGGTTCTAAAATAGCATGTAATTTTAATAATTGAGGAGCTAAAGTACCCGAAACTTGTTGACTAGTTATCCAATCATGAACTAGTGATACTAAACGTCTTCGACCAAATTCATCACTTAAATCAAGTGATCCTGCCATTGATAAAATTTGTTCAACAACACATTCTTGTTCAATTGCTTTTTCATCAAACTCTTGAGCAAGAACAGTTTGAACAAGTTTATCCACAACACTACATTATTGAAATAAAGATTATAATACCAAATATTAAGTTAATCATCGCATAATAATGAATTATAATAAGTCTATAATAGTAAAAAACAGGTAAATATCGACGAATATTTTCTTATTTAACCACAGTACCTAACACAGTCAGTCAGCTACAACGTACGACCAGGCACATATATGCATCCGTCCAAGTTGCCATACCTCATTAACACAACAAGATGAACACAGAATTCATAAAATAGTTACTTCAATGGTAGTAATATATAAAAGAAAGATTACATATTAGAATATAGTGCAGGAAGAAATAATTAGTTGGTAGAAAGAAATATATGAAGCGATTTTAATCTCATAGTTTAAGGGAAGACAAAGAATGTATACACCTACGCTACTGTGATTGATTCTGAGTCATGTCACCCAGAGTTTCCAACCATTGGTTACGATAGTCAAGCTATGGTTTGTTTCATACTATGGAACGTTTTTACGACATTATTTTTAAAAGTAGAGATATGTTAGTTGAAGATATTCGATAGTAGGTATTACCATGATGTGTTGCTTACATGTGATGAAATCACCGAATAATGTTGATGTAACGATTATAATGCTAAGTGAGACAGATGAATCAGTTAACCTACATGAACTGTGATTCGATCAAATCTTCGATCATTAGTTTGAACTACATAAATAAAAAACAGACATGTATAAAATGTTATAGATATATGTATCGCCTACCAATTGATAACATGCCAATTCATAACATGGAAGGTAATCGAATGCATATTATTCGAAGACTCCAACATGTAAGGGCTTAAGATCAATGATCAGTGACTTATAGATTAATATCATGTTACGTTGAAATCTCTTTTCAAATAACTGCTACCACGTAACTTAAGAAATACACTAGAATAAGTGGTAAGCAAAAATATTTCAATGGGAAATGATATTTATTTATGTTGTTGAAAATTCATTAATTTTTGAAGTCAAGTTGTATGAAGTTTTAATATTTATGGTTTACTGTATTTAGGAATTTCGATTTAAGATACGGATTTTCTTCACTCTTCTAGGACTTATTAGTTGGATATATAGGTATTGTTACTTACTTACTTACGCCTGTTACTCCTAATGGAACATAGGCCGCAGACCAGCATTCTCCAATCCACTCTGTTCTGGGTCTTCCCAACTGTGACTCAGTTGGATACTTTCCTCAATCTGTGTCCTACGTCACTTCCATCGCTTCTTCCTCCATATGGAATCTGGTTTATTCTCTCCCACAGTATATTGTTGTTAATACTCTCTGGCCAATCGATCCGAAGTATTTTACGTAGACAACTGTTAATAAACACCTGTATTTTCTGGATGATGGCTTTCGTAGTTCTCCAGGTTCCCGCCCCATACAGCAGAACTGTCTTGACATTTGTATTGAAAATTCTGACCTTGGTGTTGGTTGACAGTTGTTTTGAGTTCCAGATGTTCTTCATTTGTAATTATGCTGCTCTTGCTTTACCGATCCGCGCCTTCACATCTGCATTAGATCCACTACGTTCGTCAATGATGCTGCTCAAATATGTAAAGTTTTTTACATCTTCAAAATCTTCTCCGTCAATTGTGACTGGACTGGTACATGCTGTGTTGTATCGGAGAATCTTGCTTTTCCCTTTGTGTATGTTGAGACCTACTGCTGCTGAGGCTGCTGCCACGCTGTTTGTCTTCTCCTGCATCTGTTGTTGCGTTTGGGATAAAAGGGCCAGATCGTCTGCGAAGTCTAGATCATCCAACTGCATCTTAAATGTCCATTGTATCCCGCGCTTTCCTTCAGACGTTGACGTCTTCATGATCCAGTCGATCACCAGGAGAAAGAGAAAGGGTGAGAGTAAGCAACCTTGCCTGACACCGGTCTTTACCTCGAACGAGTCTGTCAATTGTCCTCCATGCACAATTTTGCAGTTTAATCCATCATAGCAATTCTATATGATATTGACTATCTTCTCAGGCACGCCGTAGTATTGAAGAAGCTTCCATAGTAATGTTCTGTCCACGCTGTCAAATGCCTTTTCGTAGTCAATGAAGTTGATGTAGAGTGATTAATCCCATTCAATTGATTGTTCCACAATCACAATTGATTGATCACTGGGTGGTGATCAATCTAATGCTTGTCTAGTCCTTATTAGTGCAGATCGAATGCTATCGATCATGTTGCAATGTGGCCACCAGTCTAGGTGACTCGACACTGCGGGCACTATGTATTGAGATTAGATGATGGTTGGAGGTAGTCAACAGGAAACCCTGGACCCGGGTTTCGTGCTACTTGGCACTCGTCAGCAAGGTGTACCTGTAATCTTGAGGGAAATGGTGCTCTCTGGCGGATTCGATCTCGTGTCACCCAGCTTCACAGTCAGAGACGTTACCACTGAGCTATCCGAGCCGTGACTAACCTCCTGTAGGACTGAGATGTAATCACAATTGATTGATCACTGACCAGAAGTCCTTCTTTCCAAATCTTTCCCAAATCTGATTGAGGAGAATGTGGAGTATCCTTGCAGTTGCCGCTACGTCTGCTTTTAGTGCCTCTGCTGGAATGTTGTCTGGTCCTGCTGCTTTGCCACTCTGGATTTGTCTGATGGCCATGCTGATTTCTTCAATTGTTGGTGGGCCAACATCGATTGGGAGGTCCGTGGGTGCTGCTTCGATATTGGGTGGGTTCAGTGGGGCTGGTCGATTTAAGAATTCCTTGAAGTGCACTACCTACCTGTTTCGTTGTTCTTTAGTGTTGGTGATTACCTCGCCTTCCTTGCTTTTCACTGGTCGTTCTGGTTTACGGTGATTTCCAGAGAGTTTCTTTGTCGCGTCATGTTTCCTTGCAGCCTTTTCTGCCGTCGTTGATAAATCTTCTACATATTTACGTTTGTCAGTTCTGATGCTCCTCTTCACTTGCTTGTTTACTTCTGTGTATTCAGCTTGTGTTGTTAATCATACTAAAAAGTGATATTCAACAAACTATATCACATGGCATGTGAATCAATGGCTTAGAGCGGTTAAAACATATGCCTTTCAACTAGTACTTGGCAGATTCACAATCAATTACATCCTGATTAATTGGCAGATTCACTGAGCTAAAATATTCAGGACAATGATTTTACTATACTTCATGTGATTCAACTCACTCATGTTCATTATGCAACTATTCATAGACCTATTAACAAATACAAACTAACCTTTTAGCTAAGTCAACGTAAACACTAACAGACGGTTGAACTAGATCAGCTAATCGTTGTAAAGGGTTGTTTTCTTCATCTTCTTCTTCATGCTCAAGGTGTACAGCTGATTTTATTGTTATTGTCGTTGTGTCATCTACATTAGTTAGTCTCTTATGAATAAATTCCACCAATGCTCTCCAGAAAAATGTTGCTTCCGGTGTAAGACAATCGGATTTAAGTATTCGACTGAAAAATAAACCAATAATAATCTGAAGAAATATCTCATTTCCAAGCGCAGTAATCAGTTCAATTTACATTTGTTCTACGAAACATTTACTATTACTCGCTGATTGAGAACCTATCTTTCCCTATTACAAAATGAACATACCAACGAATACTTATTCGTGTGACAACTTGCATGCAAGCAGATTCTACTTTATTAATTATTGACTAATTGTTTACAACCTTCTACAACACATGGTTGTAGTTAGGCGATCTAAACATTTAATTTGTAACAATTAGATCGCCAATTCAAAACGACCTCAACCTCCAAAAAAGGGAAGGTATAAGTGCTACTACTACAAGTCAATCACATGTTTCTGACTAGACCAATAAGAGTATTTGCCTCAAATGAATTGCATTTCAACTCTCTCTCTCTCTCTCTCTCTCTCTCTCTATATATATATATATATATATATATATATATATATATATATATATATATATATATATATATATATATATATATATAGGACATGCATTGTGGAAATTATCATAAGTGCATCACGAGACAAACCCTGACTTATGATCCTGAAGGCGAAAGGAAATGAAGAAGACTGTAGAACATAGTGCACTGGGAGTTGGAAGCAGACATCAAAAGAATAAATAGGAATTGGAAACGACTAAAAACGATAGCCTGGGACAAAGTTGCTTGGAGAAAGTCGGTGGGAGGCCTACGCTTCTCAACGAGGAGTATATATATATATATATATATATATATATATATATATATATATATATATATATATATATTCGGTATGTTGAAGTACAGAATGATACACTAAGAAGTAAATATAAAAGGTTTAGAGAAGTCATTGATAACTTACTCAGAATTTAAATAATTTGTAGACCATTCTTGGACAACTTTCAACAGATCGTCTAGTGGTAACATTTCAAATAGACTATCTAAAGCTTTTTGACTCGTACTAGGATCACCTTCTGGGTCTAAACGTCGTAACAGTAGTACTGGATCTCGATTAGTTCCATTAAACCATGCTAAAACTAGTTCTTTAGTTGCTTTACGAACCTCCTCTATAATTAAATACATTGAAAAACAAAAACATTATCATCACTGAACTTACCAAAAGTTTGTAATATTTTTTAAGCAAAATATTCAAATTTTAGGGAATTTAAAGAAAACAAGGACATGACATGAAAAGTATATACAACGGTTTAAGTTGGTATAAAGCTTAACGGTATAAAAAAACGAGGGAAAAAGGAAAAAGAAACACTGATACAAAACGCAAAACTAACGAAGGATAGAAATGAAGACAGCAAAACTACAGAAACAAGTATTAAGTTATTCATCGTGAAGAAGATCGACAGCGTATATTCACTACCAATCAGTCCATCAGTCCTAGTCTGAGCCATGTTGGTAGATGTAGACTACTTGGTTGGGGTCCGCGTGACTATCATAACCAATGGTTGGAAACTCTGGGTGACATGACTCAGAATCAATCACAGTAGCGTAGGTGTATACATTCTTTGTCTTCCCTTAAACTATGAGATTAAAATCGCTTCATATATTTCTTTCTACCAACTAATTATTTCTTCCTGCACTATATTCTAATATGTAATCTTTCTTTTATATATTATTACCATTGAAGTAACTACTTTATGAATTCTGTGTTCATCTTGTTGTGTTAATGAGGTATGGCAACTTGGACGGATGCATATATGTGCCTGGTCCTACGTTGTAGCTAATTGAGTTTATCATTCATGTGCATCAACTCAAGTTGCCATGCCACCAATTATTTCTACTAGAAAATACGCCCTATCAGTTTGCGTTTAAACTGTCTTCGCTTGCTATTGTTTCCTATAGCCAGTTGTAGTGTGTCTTCATGGTTCAGATGATGCTAAGAAGATTCACTGACTTGTAGGGGCTACAGGCTGAAAAGATATTACCGTTCCTACTGATGTTTTGAAAATAGACTGAATACTTAACCTGATTAATTCAGAAGAGGAGTAGTCGTGCCCTAATAATTGGCTGATATTTTGACCTTCAGGCTGACGACACTCAGTTAGGCACAAACGAGGACAAGAAACAAATAGCGATCATAGTTTAAGTAGTTAATTAAAAAAGTCAATATCTTACTGATTCTCCTTTAGAGTGGTCAATAACAGTATGATCTATATGTATCTATCATCGTCAAGTTAAATTGGTAACCACCACGTCAGTCGGTATTTAAAGTTGATAGTCTCTAGAAAACGTGATTACTGGAGAGGACGTATAATAAAAGTGTGCAGTGATACTGATATCACAGCGACATTATATATGTATCGAATAAACCCGTCAATAAAAAGCACTGAATGAAAAGCCAAAGTAATAACTTTAGCAAAAGAGAATAAACGTGATATATATCACACAAGGTAGTCCTATCCCAACAATCCTAGGATTTTCTAAAGCTACCTACCCGATCTATCGGATAATCCATCTTGTAAGATACGGATACGTTTTGCGATCGATAGTGGTCGTAAAATACCTCGAGATGCTAACAGTTTGTAGGCAGCCCGACGTACATTGTCAGCAAGATCACGACATCGTTCAACTAGACTTGGTAATGTTCGAGTAGTCAGAACCATTGCTGCTAATGCCGCACGCCGAACCTCTGCAGTAGGATCGTGTCGTGTGAGCCAAATAAATGCCTCTACTACAGGACACTCTGCATCAGTAGGATCTTGCATACGAGAAAGTGCTTGGATTGCTTCAACTCGCACCGACACCTAGAAGGTATACATAAACATAGTAAACTATAAAAAAATGCGATTTTGTTCTATCAGAGTGCAAATGCCGATATTTTAAAAATCATTCGTTCAGAAATTACAACTATTATTATTGAATACTATGACGAATCTATTCAGCTAAAGAGTACAATTCATTCTGCAATCACGAGGTTTCGTTATATTAAGCACCATACATTATGAAATAAGTTGTGAAGTACTCCTATTCAAAAACTTGACAATAATAAATGCAGCATGAAAACTTGAAAAGCAAGCGAACTACACACCTTGATAGTACGAATTTCTTCAAAAAAATATTATGATTTTTCAGTATAAAAGCTACTAATCATGACTTTAGGTAATATGTTTTCGGATCAATGAAACTTGACAAGATTAAAATTATGAACATGTATGGACGTCTTAAGTTTATGTGATTTGCAATCGATCGGCGTAGGTGAGAATGATGATCAATAAAACTAAGTTTTTATAAGTCTAAACTTAGAAGCCAACAATTACTCTCGATTAATGTTTAATGAAACGTTATTTATCGTTGAGGGGTTCGACTATACGAATAGTAACGTGAGAGCCGGAGATGTGACAGACATAACCAATCTTTATATACTGATATCCAGAGAAATACATACCTTTGGAAGTATATACCTAAATTGTAAAACTCTTGCTCTAGGATGTACTTGCAAAACATAGCCTTTACTATGCACTGCATAAACTTAATAACCATCAATGATTTTTAGTTGATAAATGTATGCGACTGAATTGGTGAAATCAAGATGATATTGAATGAAACGTTTGTATAATTAACGAATTTGTCTCCACATTTTTCACAGGAGACTATCTTTTACTCTCTAACACACACAAGAAACCAACTAACCTTTGTATCATAGACACGACGAAGTAATATACTTTGCAACGTCCTGTACAATTCTTCAGGCATTATTCCATTGTCTCCAATCCCATCCAATAGTTTGTGAATAATCTGCATACATCGAAATCTTACTGCAGGATTCGGACATTCGTTGTACTGATTTGAAGAGTAGATCAACAGACAAGCATAATAGAAAACTATAAAACTGAGCTGTGTGAAAGATAATTAAATCATACTCATTAACTTAGTACGACTATAACACTAATATCCAGAGTACGAGGAATTAGAAAAACATGAGTAGTAATGTGATGATCGTCAATTACTTACGATTGTTACGTTATTTAACTTTCAGGATTTTAAAATGTATGGGAAAATCTGCTAAACGGTCAGAAAATAACACTCCGCTGGACGAAGCGTTGTCGACTAAGCTGATTTCAAATCCTTTGTTTTGTGTTCCTTAACCGCGTATCTAGACTACGAATAACAATGGATGAAATGAACATTAAAATGATTACGCAAACCCCCTTGATCATTTCAACAGCTAATTCGCGAACAATCACATATTTCTCTCGAGTTATGAGTTGTTTATGCCAACCTGTTTATCATAAAATATTAATAAAAGCATGAAACCACACATTTTTGAACCTCACATTAACTAGTGTGAATACTAAGGTAAGAAGAACATATTATACGTTTTATGATTTATACATGGAATGGTTTGGTAGAAATGCTTACAGATGAGATCTAATCAGTAAATAGATTGATTTCACGAAATATTAGTTATAATTAATAGGGTACAAACAAGGTAAGTGATAGGTTCACTTGTGGTGCACATCGATACAAACCGAACCAGACCAAATTTTAAATTTTAATAGATTGCTAGTTCAGTTTCATCAACTTTTCAATCTATTTTGAATGACCGATTTTGATTCAATCATCACTTGCAAACATAGACTTGCTATAAAACAGGTGACTTCATTATAGTATATGTCAAAATATTCTAACTGATAAGGCTCAGAAAACAACTAAGAGTATAAAACATACCGTTTTTAAATGCATTTCCTATTACTCTAAGGAAAACTACGAATTAGTTAGATAATTTACTTTTAGTGTAAAGCACGACAATAGGCAGGAAGAATGTATTTGATTGAGAGAAGTTACAAAGTATTTACATAACATATATACATAGCCTTCAATTGTCCATTTGCATCTTTCGATGTCCTCTGTATTCTGAACTGCCTTCTCAACTGACCTCCAAGTGTAGTGAAACTCTTCACTGTTCAACAATTGTTGAAACTTCGACACCATTTACATTCTTGTGAGAAGCGTCCACTACACTAATTACAAGTCAAAACTAATGTCTATTTGTGATAACTGTTCAAGACTAATTTAACTTCCCAGTCTTTAAATTTCGTTAACCAACAACACGTCTATAAACTCAGTTTAATTGATTCTATGAATATTAATACATCACAAACCGAGAACTCATTATAGGAATAACAATTAAGCATTAAATAATTTCATATACCCTGCATCCTAGTCAGAACACAAAAATTAGTGATCATCAAAAAAAGTGTACGATTTTATGGGCAACAAATAAAAAACTATACCTACCTTAATACAAAATAAGAAAAGTTTTAACAATAAACGGTTATTCAGTGTATCTTGACTACTATCATCTGATTTTCCACAAAACAGAGCAAACTTTGTGATGAAATCAATTGTCCTTTCGCGATAGGATGACCGTTCACTGGATACTAAACTGTAACGGCAGAGCTCAAAGAAATCATCAGCGAAGTGTGTAAACCGTGTCTGTTAAACCAAATACAATGAAAACTCGAGTAATAGAATGAAAATATACAATTAACAAAACAAAATCTAAAGCTCACTGGTCAGTCCTGAGTGGCATAGGTTCTGGTACAAATATCTGTCAGTCCAAGTTGTCATGCCACATTAGCAGAGTGGTAATAACAAAGGAGTTCAATTAATACTAGGATCAATGGTGGTAAGAAATGGAGGATAAACACCGTATGTAGAGCAAGAATGAAGTTGAGAAGTAGAAAATTACTTACGCCTGTTACTCCTCGTGAAGGAGCATAGGTCGAGGAGTAGAAAATATGAAAATCGAAATTCAAGATTTAGATGAAGATAAAAATACACGTGGACCACTATGATGTACCTTGAGCTATGTCACCCAGTTAGAATCTTCTAGCTCAAGGATACCCTAGACCTATTAACTAAACGATTTACCTCAAATCTTGGCTCACTGACAGGTAGAAAAATGTAAGGTCACAATGATTATCTACACATTAAACAGAAGTTATGATTAAACCAATGAGTGTAGATTAATAAAACAAACAGTATTATTTCTTTATTTGAACACAAATATTGGTACAAAGGAGCATCATAATAAGTATATGTGGTACACAACAAGAAAATGGGACTAAGAAGAAATAGGGAAAGGTAAGAGAAAATAACAAAGGAAAACAAATGAATAAAAATTAGTGTAGCAGTTGTATTCATGGTAGAAAATATTGGTCACAGTACATACGATCCGAGAATACAGCTTAGTGTAATAAAAATTTATCAAAAAACTTAGGATCCTAGGGAAGACGGAGCGAATGAGCAGTTACCATTGTGAACAATTTTGAGCCTTATCAACTAGTCTCTAAACATTGGTTGCGATAATCACGCGAACTCTAAGGATACTAACTCACTTGGACACGTTCAGAGTATGGGGATAAAATTGGTGAAGGGTCTTTCCAGACTCACAAAGAGCGCTTAAAACGCTTACACCTGTCACCTTTATTGCATCGTAAGACGCGAGGTGAACATATTTCGGTATTCCGTATCTTTAATTATGATTGGGTGTTAATGTCTTAACTTTCCACTTTCTCTAGCACTAATCATCTCCAAGGCCATAGTAAGAAGGTTCGAAAACCACAATCTAATAAACTTAGTGGATTTCTTTTTTCTCATCGAGTGGTCAGTGTCTAGAACACCTTACCACGAGTAGTATTGGCCTGTTCAGCAAACACTTTCGGCTAGAACCTGGGCCTTCACTGGAAAACACACTCTAAGGATTAACACAGTTTCAATAGACAACTACCCTTATTACTGGAGATTGACACTTCATAAATATTGAATTAATTAGCAAGAATTATAGGCCGGACGATCTGCGTTGGTTCCGGCAGCAGTTTCCGCCGAAGATGACCTCCTCTTGAAAGTGTCCACCAATGTGATTGGTGCTAACTGCTTAAGTACGTTGCTGCTAATGTTAAGCATACACGGAAAAAATCCTGTCGTGTTTACCCGTATGCAGATTTTAAACTTCACTACGATAGCTCTGGAGACTAATCCGTCTGAAAAATCATTATACGATGGTTACTTGAATACAGTAACCACCCTAAACCTATAATTTTGAGTCGAATTCAAGGCTTATATAAAGAACAAATTATAAAAATTTCATTTGTCGCAACTTACATTGTCGTAAATATTTTTCAGTTTTACACATAAGCGATCGTGTGACAAATTATTAAGTTGGCATTCTTCAAAAACCTCGAGGATTTCCGACTCACCATCTTTAGGAGTAGTCGACATCCCACCAACTCAGCTGTCACTTTCCGAATTTGTAAGATACTCCCAAAACCTCAAGTTATGGTTTTTGGTGCGAACAAACAAATATCTTCCTTACTGCTCTTTGAGTAAGTTCTTTGCGAGTACTGCTGGTGCGTGCCACTTAAAGTTATTTGAGATGTTTATCAATAGTGACCAATAATATGGGTCGAAAATGGGCCATAGTTTTCGGCATGAATACATTTCCATAATTCCAAGTCAAGAATCGCAAGTAAACTTATATACAAGAGCTTATGAGAACTATGAGGACAGTTTTAAAGTTCAAGACACGTATCAACATCAAGTTTAGGCAATCAACAAGTCTAATTAGGAAGTGATTTCATTTTGAAACTACATACATTCACCATCCTCAGGTGGCATCTCAAATTATGGATAGCATAATATACAGTGACATACTTTTAGATAAATGATGTTTAACGGTGGAAACGTAACACCCAATTCTAAGTCTTAACTGTAGAACATGGTAGTAGACCGATGAACTGACTCACTTTATTGGTATGTAAAATTTGATTCCAGATCAATTATAATGTGAAATTTCACATTAACCAAGCATTAGTGCAGTCTCTTTACTGACCGTATCACAGCTTAAGACTTCTTTGAAGTCTGAGAATATCTTTGTTCAGACTTTTTTCATCGCTATGAAACAAAAATAACAGGTTATCCATTCTGCTCTAAAACCAAACCTAGCCCTGATGGAGATGCAACTGTAGAGGAGATGGATTTTTAGATTGGCGGAAGCGGTCTGAGGAAAGGGTCACTACTTCCTTAGTATATCCACCTATCGTTATTATCATACAAACCCTCTAATGGAAACGGAGTCAAAGTTATATTAAGCCTTGAACAAAATCGAAGGGCGCAATTTTATAAGTGCTAGGATATTCTACAAGTGATCGGATTACCCCAGATGGATGGCGCAAGTAGAATTACTGGTGTTTTTCCAACTTGTTTGTCTGATTTACTATCCACAGACCCTCTTCAACCCCATAGAGTTAGTGTACACTTTAAAAAGATTAGCTCTCCCTTCACTTCTAAGTTTAGCACTTGAATTTTCATACCTCTCACGACCTTTGAGCAATAAGACTAGACCTATGGTAAAGATGTCATTAGAAGGATAAGTGCATAAAGAAACACTAACGTTCAGTAAACCAAGCCTTCTTAGCTCAAACCCAGATGAGTCATTCCAGAAAAGGGATACTGACACTGAGGCCCTCTTTCTTCCTCGAACGGGTACAGACTGTACCAGTGTTTTCAGTTGTTGCACTACTTGTGAGTTTTAACTGAACATTATTATAAAGAAATAACAGATTTTTATTAGAAATAATTGGATCTACTCTACCGATATCAACTATAAAGAATAGGATGCTCTTTAGTTGATAATTAATTTCTTACCAAAGATACAGCACTTTTGCAATCGGTAGTAAGCAACTTCTGGTGAATTCTTCTATATTAGTTTGACCCACGCTCTTTCAGTGTTTTACTAATAAGTGACTTGAAACTTCTACGTACTTCATGAATGTGTCCACTTTTTAAAATTTACGGAAACGCACACACCCTAACTGACATGAACTATGGAGATGCAAATTAACACATGAAAAAGAACCTAATTTCTAGTAAATTCAGAGTGCCATACAAATTTTTCACTCGTCTAAGTGGATTAAGGTGGTTCCTGTTAGATGAAACTGTTACAACGTTGATTTATTAGTTAAGAGTTGGCCTCAAACATCATAGTAACGTCAAAACATTATAGCTCGAGTAGTCATTTGCTTCCTTATTTTGTATAGGCATTATAATTTTTATTGCTTTATGTTGAATGCTCAAAAACTTTGTATGTCTAAAAACGATGACCTCACTCTTCAACTACTTTACTCCATGACCAAAATCAAGGCCTATTCGACACTAGTCTGGTCTCTTCTATTGATAAAATGAGGGATATTGTGATAACTAGACGTATTTAAATTTTTGTACGAACTAGAAATTTCCGAAATATCGCAATTCATAGCAAGTAAAACTAGTTGGGCACAAATGAACGTAATGTATTTGGAATTCTAATCCAGGTAGTCATCAAGTACAAAGAAATAATTATTTCATACAAACACCACAAGTACCCACCTGCACAAAAAAACGTAAGGCTCCTGTAGTATGATAGATTTATTCACATTCGATAATAAAACATCATGTCGCTTCTTGATATCATCACAAGCAACGTAAAAGTTTCTAGCCAACTTGGAAGTGTGTGAAGTTTTTAGAAGCAGCTTTTCTATATTTAGAATCAGGTGGTCACGAGGTTGGATATTCACCTGCATTCAGAAGCCCATGCTTGAAGCTGCAGAATGAAATCTGTGGTAGTTTGATTCAAAGCATGAACTAGATTCAAATTTGTGTAGTGAGGACAGAAGGCCTACGGTCTATGTTATTCTTTTTCTAGTATGTTTCTGTGAATGTCCAGCCTTATCTTGAAAGAGTCAATTGAAGGTGCGGACACCACTGCTTCGGGCAACAGGTTCCAAGTATTGATGACGCGGTGTGAAAACCTGTATGCCGCGGGTATTTTGTTCGTTCTTGGCTTTTCTAAACGCCCGCTATGTCCTCTGAGATGTGCCGATTGCGTCCTTTCATTCCATAGGTAACACACCTCGGTAAGGTGACATTTTGAATATCACAGTCGGTGGGGCTGCAATATATTTCGTAATATATCTAAAGATTTTGGGGTGTAGTTCATTTGGTCCTGTTGGCTTCTCCATGTTTACGGTGCTAAGAGCCTTAAGTACATCGTCTTGATCAAAGTCCACGGTGAACAGGTGGCTTGTTGACTCTTTGTTTTGGTCCGGTGTTCTGTCTAGAGGAGGTTCCTGAGTGAAAACTGCCCCAAGGTAGTCAGCCATAACCTCAGCTTTTTCCTGATCTTTCTCTATCATTTCAGATTCACTTCCTACTTTAATTAGGTTGGGAATCCAGTGATGAGTCCTTGTTCTGTAGTTTATGTACGAGAATATCCTCTTGGGCTGCTTGAGTGCAGATTCTGCCAGCTGCATTTCGTATTTTCTTTGCGCTTCCCGAATTTTAGTTATACACACGTTTCTTATCGATCTGTACTGTTCCATCGTACCTGCTGTGCCAAGGCGGATGGCAACATCCCAGCATTTCTTCTTTTGTCTTAGTAAGCGTCGAATATCCCGCCCTATCCAGGTATGTCCGTGCTTCTTTTTCTTTGGGACAGTCCAGGGTATGTATGGTTGAGTTACACGATTGTATAACTGCCTGAATAGAGTCCATGCCTCTTGTACTGATGCCCTTGAGTCAATTTCCAAGTTCTCAGCCGATGCTGCGGAGTTGATTGCCTGCATATCTGCCTTCCATATGTTAGGACGGGCCGGCGCAACTGTTTGACAAGCAATTTCAACCATGAATTTGAATAAGATGACTGCATGGTCACTTCTCCCAAGTGGTGGGAGAAAATTCATTTGACCAACGTCATCACCGTGTGTGAAGACTAAATCTAAAAGGAAAGAAGAGTTTCTTAAGTCATATCTTGTAGGGTTTCTAATGTGTTGGAATAAAGCTAATTCAATCGAGGTTTCTAACAGTTTGCAATCGAACGACGTTATCGATGACCCTACTTCTAAGTTAACCCAGTTTATATATGGTGTATTAAAGTCGCCTACTACAAGGCTTTTACTCATGTTACGCCAGGACTTAAGTTTACTGAGGAGAAAATCATCTGCTACACATTCTGGACTACGATATACTACAACTACTTCAATATCTTGCCGTCGGCATTTCAACTTACATCTCACCAGTGCACATTTCCGTGAATAATGTACCACTGTCTCAACTGCTCACATGCTTAGGGTACTTTACGTGTACAGAATAACGCCACCTTCCCCACGGTTTGACCTATCAGCCCTAGTGGTTAAAAAACCAGTCAACTGGATTTCACTATCTAATACTTCGGACGTTAACCATGTTTCTGAGACAGCAATAACGTCGGGTTTTTCTTTATCCACCACTGACTTGAGCTCCGCTATTTTATTTAGTAGGCTGCGAGTCTGTGGAGAACTTTCCCTTACCACCCAAAGTGATTCGGGGATCGTTTCGCTCCGATCCTTTACAATTTGAAAACCCTCTAGAACGAGGTTTCTTTCATCATTTCGGCGGCGCTCGTTTATTTCAACTTCTGCAGCTAATCTCTTAGTACGATCAGCTAGGCCAAGATCCCCATGGATATATATTCCAATTGAATCAATTGACGTGGGTTGGCTAGAATCAGGTCCTTTTTTTCAACCGTAGGAAATGTAAACTTCAAGAGGCAGCTTTTTTGAGGACTTTCAGAATCCACCTTTTGTCCTATTCTATTAAGCTTACGGATGCTAACTTCTTAAACTGTTTCTGGGAGAAGCTTGTTTATTAAAGACTTAATATGACGGAGGTTGTGCTCAAATCTAGCCTTTGGTTCCCTATCTGAAGATTCTCCTAACTTATGAAAAATGACTGACCTTCCAGCGAGGTTCGTCTTGACACGCTGTGGAATTTTATTTCATGAAACCGTCTCTTCATTGCAATCCTGTTTTATTACTTTTCTTTACTTAGGTGTGACCGTGAGCCACTCATTTATCTTATTTTGTCTCATTAGCACTTCCTCTACACTGTTCAGACTTGACTCCCCTATAATTCGTATTATATTGACATGTGAATCCAGAACTAAAACCTCAGATTCACATGTCTTAGTACTGTCTATAGGTAGTTTCTTCTTCTCTGTGCGCTTCTTTCTCCTTGTAACAATACCTACATCCATATGCTTTTCTGATTCCCTGATGAGGTTCACATTTATGGTCTCATTTAAGTCTAAAGCTGGGCTCATAATGACTCTCTCAATTTCCTCGAAAGCAGAGTTCTGTCCATCATCTGCTGCCCATTTATCAGAGGGTAATTTCCTAGCTATGTTTAGCAACTCGATCGCCTCTAGAATCAGCAGAGACTTAGTAGAACAGCATTCTTTG